CAATAATAAATCCAAGAAAAAATTACCATCGATACGTTAATATTAATTTCGCCATAGAATTATTCCATTACGTCAAACACCATAACAATTGCTATTTAATTGTTTAATACGATTAACGCATTTAGCTATTGCGTGCTTTAGTATAATTAGCTCAAGCACTTTGTCTGTCGATATCATTATTACCTCTTGAAAAATGAAATGAATGAAAACAATAACAAAAATGGTAGAAAGATGCTTGCAGACAAATAATATGATCCAATTATGAAGTTGGGTATCTTATAACTGGGTTTAGGCAGTGTCGAAACATAAGTACAACAAACGTCTTTTAACTTTTTTTTTCAAAGGTTGGTATCTCAGCAGTGTGAACTATCGGTAGTAGGTTAAGTCTTTGTATCAATTACTAGAAACGGATCTTGAATGAATAATTAATTTTATCACAAAGAAATAATAGGTCATCTTATAATATTTTGTATAATTCAGTGGTTAAATAACAATTTAACTAATACCTCTCCATGTAAAACTACTTTAATTTAGGTGGCAAATAATAAATAAAAATCGCTTTGTATTATAATATTATATATTAAAATGTTAATAAGAAATGTATAATATGAAAAATACATAAATTATAATACTATTTAGTAAGTGTTACATTCGCAATTATACAATATTAAATTGAAGTATTATTAAGAAAAAAATATTGCATTAAATATCTTTAGGCATAAGTGGAGGCACTCGCAGATGCTGAGGCATGTGCGTTCGCGGCGCCGAATGCTCCGGGATGGTAGCCTTCTCCACAACATAGCGGGCCACCGTGCGGCCCCGCACCGTCAGTGTACGCTCCGGAAGCGATGCTGCTGGCCTGTGCCTGTGCCTGTGCGTCAGCGTGGCTGCCAGCTCCGTGGTTACCGCCAACCCCACCTTGTCCGGCGGAACCACCAAGTCCACTGCCGGAGCTACCACCATGCCCGCTGCCTGAGCTGCCTCCTTGACCACTACCGGAGCCACCACCATGCCCACTGCCTGAGCTACCTCCTTGACCACTGCCGGAGCTACCACCATGCCCACTGCCTGAGCTGCCTCCTTGACCACTGCCGGAGCTACCACCA